GAGCTGACTCTGCAGCAGCTGCACCTCCACAATCAGCATCAGCCTCCCCTCCCAGCTCTTTCGGGATCTCCCAGGGTCTGTTCTTTCCTCTGCTCACCCACTTCTGATGTCAAGTTCAGGGGTTGCCACAGTCCTTGCCAATTTTCTTTCATTCCCTCACTTCTACAGGGAGTTCCACTTGCCACCTTCCACAGACCCAGGCCAGACAGTGGGGTCCTGTTTCTCAGCTGAACCCTACACTGACAGGTTCTGATGATCCTGATGAATTTCAGACACGGGCACCAGGGGTTAGAGATCTACAGTTATCTAGATAGTGAAAAGTGGGACAGGACAGGCAATGGAGGCACACGCCTTTAATCCCAGCACTCGGGAGGCAGAGGCAGGCGGATCTCTGCAAGTTGGAGGCCAGCCTGGGCTACAGAGTGAGTTCCAGGAAAGGCGCAAAGCTACACAGAGAAACCCTGTCTTGAAAAACAAAAACAAAAACAAAAACAAAAACAAAAAAAAGGATAAAAGTTGGACAGAACTCCAAACCTGCTTGCAAAAGACCCTTTTCATGTCACCTAAAGTTGGTGTCCTACAAGTGGTGTGTGCCCTTTGAAATCAACGGCAAATGCTTGACCCCGAAGTAGCCCAGGGCAAAGTGGTTTGTGCCACCCAGTAGCATCCATCATGGACTGATCCTACAGCAGAGGCCTCCTTCCTGTCTCCTGAAGGTCTAGCCATGACCAGGGAGGGGAGAGTTTCTTGTCCCTAAATTGATATGTGCTTTTTCTCAACTCTTTTCCTAAGTGCTCTGTGGGAGGAGACAGATTTCCACATCCCAGAGGCTGCAGTTTGGGGATTCTGAGGGCAGTGCTGTTAGAGCTGATCATCAAGGCCCCTTGAGCTCACACAGCCTACAAGGGAGGGCTGCCTTGACGCCAGGAGGGAAGAAGGCATGCAAAGGCAGAAAGCCAGGTGTGGTGGCACACAGCTGGAATTCCAGGACTCAGAAAGCTGAGGCACAAGGGCCACCACAAGTTTGAGGCCAGCTTGAGCTACGTAGTGAGGTCCTATCTTAAAAATCCAAAACAGCTAAATTAAAATAAGACAATGAAATGATAACAAAAGGCATGTGTGAATTGAGGCTGAGTGAGCCCATTCCCTGGGGCGCTCACAGCAGACCTGGCTGAGGGGCCCCATCTCCTCCATGATGTTGGGGTCACCCATATTCAGAGAGCGTTCCTGCAGACCCCGCATCTGCACTGGGACTCTGCACTGTCACTGTAGCCACCTTTTTGGGGAAATCTTGAAGAAAAATGAATTCAACGTGAAAAAGGCCTTTTAGGTGTGGATATGGCTCAGCAGGGAGAAGGCTCATCTGGTATGTGCAAGACTCTGGGTCCAGTCCCTGACCAAAACCTGATTACGGGTTCTTATTTGACCGTGTGTGAGCATTTTTCTTAGATGCTCATAGAATCACGAAGATGAAGGGAAGCATGACTGCTTTGCTTGCTGACCTTATGATATGTTTAATTGGGTTGCTAATAAATGATTTGGCCAAAAAAAAAAATTCACCCTGTGACTTCAAAGAGTCCAGATAAGCCTGTGTTCTGACACAGAAATGATTTCACCTCTTGTAGATAAAAGGCCTGAAGGAGTCTGCTGACCTGGAATGATGAGGTGACTCCCTCCAGAGCAGAAACCTGGGGTGAATCCACACCATGGAAAATGCTGGATTCTCATTCATTGTGGACTCTATGAGTGCTATTTATTAAAACAAACAAACCCCAAATTTTTCTCCTCGCAGTGGCCATGGTGAACACAAGCTATAGAATTTGTGAAAAGAAAATGTTTTGTTTCCTCTCTTTTTTCCTCTGTGAATTGTTACCGGGTCGGAGGTCTTAGGCCCCCCTCTGCAAGCATCACAAAAGGCTTTGCTCCCCTGGGTGTGGGTTTTATCTCACTGAGATGCAGGAATGAACTCTCTGGTGCTTTCCTGAAGTGCCAGGACTCTCCCCATACTTCAGGGAAGCTGGCGGTCTCAAGACTAAGGGCCCAAGGATGGTGTGGTCCTGAGTGCTGAGGCAGGGGACAGCCCAGAGCAGGGCCAGGGAAGGGAGAAGGGGCGAGGGACTTGGTAAGTATGTGTATGTGGGGTATGTGTTTACTCTAGCAGGCATATCTGGGTTCACTTAGAGCCCCATTGCCTGATGCCCAGATGCCATGAGACTGGCTACCTACGCCTTCTGTGGGGAGCTTTTTAGTGTGTTGTTGACTGCCTGAGAATGGACATAGGGAAATACATAAGAATGCTTGTGTGTCTGTGTGTGCATTTGTGTATGGTGCATCGGAGTATATATGTATATGTATGTATATCCTTGTGTGTCTGCATGGATCTATTCACATGCATGTGTATACATGTATCTGAATGTATGTAAGTAAATGTGTGTATGCATGTGTATATGTGTGCATATGCATGTATGCACTTGTATATATGTATGTATATAGTATATTTGTGTGTGCTTGTATATGCATGTGTATGAATGTCTCTCTGCATCTGTGTACATCTGTATATTTGTATGTATATGTATATTTGTGTGTATATATATGTAAATGTATGCATGGCTGTATTCATGTGTAAATGCATGTACATGCATATTCATTCATATATATGGGCATATGTATACATGTGTATGTAAATGTGTCTATGCATGTATATAAGTTTATTCATGTGTATGTGTGTATATATATATATGTGTGTAGTTATGTATAAGCATGTATGTGTGTTTATGTGTATATGCTTGTGAATAAGTATGTATATACGTGTGTGTGTGTGTGTGTGTGTGTGTGTGCGCGCGCGCGCGCGTGTGGAATATAATGCTGATTGGCCTCCTGTTTTCAGTCCCTTGTGCTGTGGGTCTTCATTGTGTGGTGGTGACAGTGGTCCTCATCTGGAAGGCAAAGGCCAGAGTTTGGTTCCCTTTGCCACCAACACCCTGTGCCCTCTTTAACTCGACTGCCTGCCCTGCCTTTGAGATGGAACACTCTCATAGCACCTGGAGGTGACGGATGTCCTTGCCTTCTAGAAGGTGCCAATCCGTGTCCCTTCTGCTCCCTCTCTGCGGGACTGGCCAGGCAGGTGAGGCCTGACAGAAAGACCCATTTTAGTAGCTCATCTCCACACTTGGTGTTGGTGACACTCCTTACATTGTGGCTAAAACATCAACATTCCTGGTGCTGATCTCAAGTTTCTCACTGTTCCTTCTGGAACTCTCCCTGGAATACAGTGAAACCTCCCAAAGAATTAGCTGAGAAAAGCCAAAGACAGACAGATCCCTCAAGTGGCAGTTTGTCTGGTCATCTCGAGGAGGTCCCGGGGGAATGGAGAGGCAGGGAGGAGGCCTTTAGTGGAATACGTCAGGACTGTGAGGTCACTCTGGGTCTGGGTCAGACACTTTCGAGGCTACTAGAAGTGAAAGGAGGGAGAACTAGCCAGGCTAGCTGCAACTAAATACGGTGCTTGCCACTCAAGTCCTGTGACCTCTCAGACCCTGAAGTGCCTGTAGGAACTCTGAACGCAACACATCCCTAACTTACAGCCTTCTCCAGCCTGTCTCTGTCTCCCCTCCCCACTTTCTGTTACTACGGTAATAAGCACAGCATGCTGCTAGGCAGAGTACCTCCAGCTCGCCCTCCACCCGGTTACCTCATCTGAGTGTTCAGAGGGTGACACCAACCCAGCCATAGCTAAGCAGGACTCAATACAGATTCCTTCCTACCCTTTAAAAACAGCCTCCCGACTGGAAACATTTCCTCCCGACTGGAAACATTTCCTCCCGACTGCCTGAGGACAGAAGTGGCTGATGAATTGCCTGGATCCACTGGGTGGCCATTTCCCGATTGTCTTCCGCCAAAGCTGCACTCGGCAGCGTTTACCCAAGTCCTGGCAGGGAGGGTTCTAGAGAAACAGGTCCTTTGATGGTTCCATCAGCTATCTCAGGGAGCCAGGGGAATGTGGGCCAACTTAATGAAGCTCCAAATAGGAGGTGCCATTTATCTCGACACACCAGACCCTGACCAAAAAGGTACAGCACTTGTCCTAGAAAAATATGAATAGTGGCTTCTCAGTACACCAGCGTTGGGCAAATGTGTTCTTTTTAAGGTGTGTCTTTCAAAATGCTGGTGGTGGCTGGGAGCCCACATCAGAGATGACCACGGCCATGGCGTTGGAGAAGGGGTAGTTATGTGGCCTGCGTTCAAGGCCATGTTCCAGCACTATCAATAGAACATTCTGCAAGACTGGAATGTTTCGTTTCTGTGTTGTCTGACTTTGCAGTCATGTATTTATTTGAGCCTTTGAATGGAGACTGGTATGAGGAATGACATTGTGGTTTTTTTTTTTCTGAAGTATTTAAATCAGGGTTTAGAAGGTAGCTCAGGAGGTAAAGGCGTTTGCCAACAAGCCCAACAACCTGAGTTCAATCCCTGAGACCCACATGGTGAACAGAGAGAACTGACTTCTGCAAATTGTTCTTTGATGTCCCTAAGTGCACCATGGCACATTCCCCCTCCCTCCTCAAATATTATATGATAAATACAAGTAATAAAACATGTGAAAAGTGCTGGGCGGTGGTGCCGCACACCTTTAACCCCAGCACTTGGGAGGCAGAGGCAGGCGGATCTCTGTGAGTTCGAGGCCAACCTGGGCTACAGAGTGAGTTCTAGGAAAGGTGCAAAGCTACATAGAGAAACCCTGTCTCCAGAAAAAAAAAAAAGTGAAAAGTATTTAAATAGCCACATAGGGTGAGTGGATGGCTACCCTTACTGGACAATGATATATTGATGACAGAGTTGACCAGATAAGTCTCACAGGGTGTCATCTACAGCTTCCCCAGGGCAGTCTGATATGGCCACGGACACACCCATGGTGAGGGACATCGGCTTGGACTCATGAAACCTTTGCTCATTGGAAGGAGTGAGGAGGAACTGGGAGACTAAGAACTCAGTCCTTAGCTTTATCCCTGGCTGGTTTCAGGCAGTCCTGAGGAGTCCCCTCAACATCACTGGCAAGGTGGTACTGTCCTCATTGGATGTCCCTGGAGCAAGATAATGTACTGAAATAAAGAGAAATAATTGTTCCCAAGGGACTTGCTGCCTGCCAAGCTGCACTGAGCCCCTGAGGTGGGTTCTGTCAGTGGACAAGAGCACTGGTGGGTGACTGGTGGGTGACTGGTGGATCACTGGTAGGCGACTGGTGGGTGACTGGTGAGTGACTGGTGGATCACTGGTGGGCGACTGGCGGGTGACTGGTGGGTGACTGGTGGATCACTGGTGGGTGAGATAATGCAGAAAGACTGAGTCCTCAGAGCGTTAGTTGGCCCCTGCAACCCTGTGCGTGTGTACAGCTCTTCTTCCATGACTTCCTTCTCTTGACACTGCAGCCCAGAAGCAGCTCCTGAACCTTCAGGTAGGACACTCACCTCTGAAGGGGGCCTGGGCTCGGGTGATGAGGAAGAGCTTCTTGCTCTTGCCTGTCCAGTCCCTGCGGATGTCATAGCCCAGAGTGTTGCAACGGCCCTTCTTGCAGCTCAGACACAGGCCCTGGCTGAAGCTGTTCATGTCACTGCACTGGAAGCCTGTGCTCTGCAGATCACTGTGTCGCAACGAGTCAATGAAGAGGTGCACCGAGCGCTCATGGGCACATTTGATGGTCTGGGTTATAGCTGAGACGCAGGACAAAAAGACAGTTAGCCCTCTGAGCCCCAAGTGGCCCTGTGGTGATATTTTATTTGTGTACCCCAATAAAGCTTATCTGGGGATCTGAGGAAAAAGCCAGCCACTATTTTAAATATAGAGGTCAGGCAGTGGTAGCACACCTTTAATCCTAGCATTCGGGAGGCAGAGATTCATCTATCTCTGTGAGTTCAAGGCCACACTGGGAACAGAGCCAGGTGTGGTGGCACATGCCTTTAATCTCAGCGCTAGTTAACCATAGAGGTCTGGAGGTCTGTACAGACAGGAAGTAATAGAGTTGGGTGGAAAGAGGAAGTGATGTAGCTGGGCGGAGAGAAGAAGGCACAGAAAGGTACATAGGTGTGATTGTACAGGAAGTAGCTCTCTCTGAAGGCTGAGGAGTTGGTAAGGTGGGGTTGGCTGTGGCTTGTTCTACTCCTCTGATCTCTCAGTTTTTACCCCAATATCTGGCTCTGGGGTTTTTATTAGTAAGACCAATTAGCAATTTGTCTTACATGGCCCCAACAAAAAGACTTATGGTTTCAGTTCTAGGCAGATGTGTGTGTGTGTGTGTGTGTAGCAGGACTGCTGAGTTCTCCCAGACAATGGGTCTGTTGCAATAGAAAGCTAAAGAAAGTAGACCTCTGTAGATACCACACTGAGATCAACCTGCTATGATAATAACATGGATTAGGAGGTGTTTTTATGAGTACCCAATGTTACTAGGAAAGAGCCAGATAGCACAGCTTGTTCTGAGGAATTCCCCCATGGTTAGCAAAGGCCCAGTGCTGAGGTCTAGACAGAGAGCTACTTGGCTAGTGCTGTGGGCTTCTTCTTTTCTTACCACATTACCACAGCCAGGTCATCCAGGTCTAGGGCCTAATCCCCAAAGCAACATTTTTTTTTTTTTTTTTTTTTTGTTTTTTTCGAGACAGGGTTTCTCTGTGTAGCTTTGTGCCTTTCCTGGAACTCACTTGGTAGCCCAGGCTGGCCTCGAACTCACAGAAATCCGCCGGCCTCTGCCTCCCGAGTGCTGGGATTAAAGGCATGTGCCACCACCGCCCGGCCCAAAGCAACATTTTTAAGTGTTTAATATTCTGGGGTGGTGGTGGGTTGGGGTAGAGCAAGATGGCTTATTGAGGAAAGGGGCTTGCTGCCAAACCAGAAGACCTGAATGTGATCTCTGTGACTAACATAAAACTCCTATAAGTAGCCTACACACACACATACACACACACACACACACACACACACACACACACACACACACACACGTGCCCCCAACATACACAAAATAAGTAAAATGTAATAAAAATAAAACTTAAATTGTGTGTGTCTGTGTCTGTGTCTGTGTGTGTGTTCATGTATGACTGTGTGTGTCACAGAGCAAATGCTGAAATGAGAAGACAACTTTCAGGAGTCACGTTCTCCTTCCTCCTTGACATGGTTCTGGGAATCCAACTCAGGTCATCGAGCTTGCGTGGCAAATGCCCAAACCCTCTGAACCATCTTCCTGGTCCACCAACCTTTTTCTTTCAAGACAAAATCTCCTGTTGCGCAGGCTGGCCTTGACCTCCTGCCTCTCAAGTGCTGAGATTACTCCATGTCTGGTTTTATGCAGAGCAGGTGCTGACATCCAGAATCCAGATTTTCCTGTATGCTGTGCAGGCTCTCTGCCTGTGAAGCTATCCACCCATCCTCCCATCGTGAAATTTGACCTTTTTAAAGAAAACTTTCCAATTTCTAATCTAATCTGCAGCAAATTATCTAAAGTGATGTCAGGGGGCAGCCAGAAGACCCAGAAGTACCTAAAGTCAGGTCAGGGACAGGTCACCTTGCCTGGAGCCACTTCCTCTAATGTTTTAAGACTAAATGCAACGCGGGTCATCTCGGTCACGATGGGCTCTGCTCCTGGTGTCAGGAGGGCTGTACCACTTGCTGTCTCCTCAACCACTCCCCAACAGTGCCTGGAGGCAGCTGTTCTAACAAATGAGAAAACAGCCTCAAAGACATTTGCTGGCCTCTGGTAGCTCACTCTGTACGGGGTGGGGTGGTGCGGGGTAGTGTGGGGTGGGGTGGGGTGGGGTGGGTGGAAAGCTGTTATCAAGCTGCCTTCTGCATAGGTGTGGCTGGGGGGAGTGCCCCGGAATGGGAGCACTTTAAACAAAGGGATGGAGGACTTGGAGTTCCTCCTTACCCCCAGTTAGGCAAGCGGGGTGCATAAAGTTATGTCATTTTAAGGGTAGCATAGAAGAGAAAATGGCAGCAACTGGTCAAAAATGTGTTTACTAGGCAAGTGGTGACTAAACACTATCCTAGGGCCTGTGCTGAGCTTTGCAAGGAGGGGCTGTAGCTCTGAGAAAAGAGTGGGTGAATCAGCGGGGACCTGTTGCTGACCGGAGGAAGGGTGACTGCTGGGGAGATGTAAAGACAGATAGGGGAAGTTCCCAGAAGGCTCTGGGGTGTAGAGGAATGCTGGAGTGCAGCCAGCTGGAGTTGGTGAGGCAGTGGGGTGTGCGAAGGGCTTTCTGGGACTGGAGAGGTGAGGGTGGCGATGGAATCCCCAGGGAGTGCTCAGCCTGGATTTGGATGATAGGGGTGGGAAGCGAGTATGTAGAATTGGGGTCTCCAGCTGTCACCTGGAGTGACCTGGCCTGCTCTCATCTGGGTGACATAACAATGAGAAATCTGGGACGCCTGCAGTGTCCCTGTTCTTGGAAGGTGTGGTTGCTGGTGGCTTGCATGCTCGTTAGTTCCTTTTCACCCCAGGTGTGCTATCAATGTGCATGTCCGCGGATCTGCTGCTGAAAGTGGCATGGAGAGGGGTGAGAACAGCGGTCAGTCAGGAAAGTGTTTGCCAGGCAAACCCGGGGCCTGGGTCCAACCCCCGGAACTCAGGTACAAGAGCCAAGTGTGGCCGTGTGCTTGCAGTCCCCATGCTGGGGAGGCAGGGGCAGGCAGATCCTTGAGGCAGCCGCCCTAGCTGAATCATTGAGAACCAAGCCAGTGAGATACCATGTCCCCAAAACCAAGATGGAGGTTGTCTTCTAGCTTCAGTATTTACCCCCACACAATTGCACACACACACACACACACACACACACACACACACACACACACACACACACACGTCAAGACCTTCCTGTGGCTCTAGAGAGTGGAAATTCCCAAAGGTGGAAAGTTCCAGAAAGGAGAGGACAAGAGGTGGGGTCAGGACTCAGCTCTCACAAGGGCGAATGCCCCTGGAACAGCTTCCTGTATCTCTGGGCAGGAGTGGGAAGTGATGGTTCCTGATGGTGCTTCTCCAAGGCCCTGGGAGCTGTCACAGGGAGCAGCTGCCTGGGGACCACCAGCCCCCAAAACGGCCTTTGAGACCCTGCACTGGGGGCTCTATCCTTGCTGAGGTGGTCCCTGAGACCTCAGGAGAGGATGAGAAACAGGCTAAGGCTCTAGGCTATGACTTCCCATTCTTACCATTTAAGCCATGCTCCGCAATGTGTTTGTAGAGCTCCAGGAAGTGGCAGCCGGGCTGGAAGGTGCCGCCATTGGGGTAGAAGTCATAGTGGGCAATGGGCTGTTGGATGCCCACACTCAGGCCCATGTGCTCCTGGGTAAAGGTGTGAATGGCGTCCACAAAACTGGCATCATCTGGAGAAAGACGGTCGCTGGGGGAAGTGCCCTCAAACAAAGGGCCTGCGGGGTCCAGCCCTGGTAAGAAAATGAAAGCCGGCATAGATCAGCGTGGGGAGGGCAACAGAAGGCTCTCCTCCCAGCTCTGATATCATTGCACATTTCTGAGCTAGCAGGAAGAGGAAAACAAGTGTGTGGTGCTTCTCCAGAACCTTAGACGCTAACGTTTTTGCTGTAAAGCCATAGTAATTCACGGTGCTGAAAATCTGCCAGGCCAGGCATTATTCTAAGGGGAGAGAGGTTTGCAGATCAGGAGGTAACAATCAGGTTATGAGTGAATGCTTGATTTATTAAGCAAATCAATTTTAAGTGCCTCTCCTGGTAGTTTCTACAGCATCTGTTTGCATAAAAATGCAGCAGCCCACGGTGCTCATTATGTGCAGTTCTGACTTCTTGGGCAAAGAAAGCATTCGTGTGCCTGTGTGTCGTCAGTAGTCTCCTTGAACAAGCTGGTTCCTGCACTCATTGGAAGGTCCAGAACAATCTTAGGAAGGGGTGAAAATCTCGACATGTGGGGGCTTAGTAAGCCCCAGGCTCCCAGCGACAGCCCTGCTTGCAGGGACAAGAACGGCTTCTGGCTGACTACCTGGGGAGGGTACCTATGCACCATGGACTCTCCTCCTCTGACTTGTCTGAAGCACCCTGTGGTGGCAGGCTTCAGCCCAGGCCACCATCCTTGACAGTGAGCTGTTAGGTCACCTGCCCTCCAGCCCCACCCGCGGCGGCCTTGGTGTGATCCAAAGTATTTCTTTCTTTAGGCTGACAGCAAGATGACTGCAGGGTACGGAGCCCTCCTGCTGTCTCCTGTGTGGGTGGCCTGGTTAGAATGCTGGGATGTGACAGTGCCATTTGGAATGGGGAGGCCGAGGGCTCAGGCCTGACAATGTCTCACTTTGTGAAATGCTTTGTTTTTTCTTTTTCCATTCTGTGTGTGGTATGTGCATGTTTACGTGTGTGGGGGGGCACCTCTGCAGGTGTGTCGGTGTGCAGGTAACACCTGGAGATGGATGGCAGGAGTCATCTTTAATTGTTCTTTCACCATATTCAATGAGCTAGGGTCTCTCAAACTCCGAGCTCACAGGGCTGTGCAGCTTGCCATGGGGCTCCCCTGCCTTTGACTTCCTGGGCTTGAATTACAGGGGGAAAGCCACACCCATTTGGCACTTATACATACTCTGGGGAGCCCAACAGATTCCAGTCCTCAAATTTGCTTGCAATATTCTCACCCACACTTTGTGGAATTCTGACCCCTCTAGCAATGCTTCTAGCAAGGCAAGGCATTTGTGTACATCAGAGTCAGGAGTGTCAGGCTAGATACAGAGTTGGAGCCTAGCCTGGGCTACATGAGACAGGTCTCAAAAAAAAAAAAAAAAAAAAAAAACCACACACAGATAAACAACAAAACCAGTAAAAGTTTCTTGTTACAAAATATAATTGGAATCCTCTTTTGGACCCGTTTGGAACAGCTCTGGGAATAGTTCCGTGGAAGAAAGGTCATAGGAAGCAGGCTGTCCTTGGTTCTGTGTTCTCATGGGACAGCAGCAATTCCTGATAGAAGACTTGTTGGGCAGTGTTTGGTGTTATCATCGATGAGCATAGGGAAGCAGGTGTGTGCTCCCTGTACCCAGCCGCCACCGAGCTTGTGTGGGGTTATCCAGCAGAGTTACCCGTGATTCTTCCAATCTTGTGCTTTCTACCCATGGAGCTGCCTGCGAATCCTGAGACATGAGCTCCCAGGCTGTAGCCGATCAGGTGAACTTTGCTCTGAGAAAACTTCACAGATTCCTGCAAGACAGGACAAGAGGGTTGAGGGAGGAGTTGGTGTGAGGCCAAGAGCCTTCCATAGGGCCTGCTTCTGTGGGGCACCCATCCATGCTTGGTGCTGCCTGTGAACCAAGTGCTTTATAATTGGGAAACTGACTTGTCAACTCACGGACTGTCCTCTTGGGTGATGGGGGACAGGGGTGACCTTTCTTTGGGATATCCTGGTGACTGTTGCCTCCTGCCTACCTGGCTTCAGCTAGACATTGGTGCCCTGCAGTAACTGGGGATCCCCCTGTTGTAGCTGGAGAGTTTTCTCTCCGGGTCCCGCCAAGCCCAGGCAGTCCGACAACCCACTTATAGAATAAACACACAGACGCTTATATTATTTAAACTGTTTGGCCTAATGGCTCAGGCTTCTAGCTATCTAGTTCTTACATCTTAAATTAATCCATTTTTATAAATCTATACCTTGCTATGTGGCTCGTGGCTTACCGGCATCTTCACATGCTGCTTGTCATGGCGGAGGCTGGCAGTGTCTCCCTCCACCTTCCTGTTCTCTCTATTTTCCTCTCTGTTAGTCCTGCCTATACTTCCTGCCTGGCTACTGGCCAATCAATGTTTTATTTATTGACCAATCAGAGCAATACATTTGACATACAGACCATCCCACAGCACCCTGTCTTTACGTTTCAAGCTGTAATTATAGGGGGATGCCATACTTGTGTGGGATTGATGACTTCTAAGTGTGTTTAGATTCCTTCGAACAAATGTATCCAAACCAGCTTCTCTGAGCCATACTGGGTGAAATATAGTTGTAGGCCACACTGGGGCATCCAAACTGTGACCCACAGGTTTCAAGAGCATATATACATTTATTTTGTGTGACATCATGACAGGACATTGTCATTTACAAAGTTCATAATGGATAACTGAGCATTTGAACTTTAAACATTGTGAGAAAAAAATCTCATAGTTTTCTTTTCCCAATGTTTTAAAAATATGATGACATTGTGTGTGTGTGTGTGTGTGTGTGTGTGTGTGTGTGTGTGTGTGTGTGTGTGTGTTCAGAGGACAACTTGAGGGATTCAGTTTTCTCTTTCTACTTGTACAAGGGCCTTAACCCATGGAGCCAGCTCACTGGTCTCCAATGTTTTATGATTTTGTAATGGACTGCATTCATAGCCATTCATATGTCCTGGTCTGCTTTCTGTTGCTGTGAGAAAACACTGACCAAAAGCAACTTGGGGAGGAAAGGGTTTATTTTAGCTTACAGATTACAGTATACCACGAGGGGAAGTCAGGCCAGGGACCTGGATGTAGGAACCAAATCAGAAACCATGAAGGAACTCTACTTTCTGGCTTGCTCTCCATGCCTTGCTCAGCCTGCTTTCTTGTACAACTCTGGACCACCTGCCCAGGGCTGGCACTGCCCACAGTGGGCTAGGCCCTCCCACGCCAATCATTGAGGATGACCATGATGATGATGATGATGATGATGATGATGATGATGAATAAAATGCCCTGCAGGCTTATCTACTGGGCACTCTGACAGAGGCATTTCTCAATTGAGTTCGCTCTTCCCAGAGGACCCTAGCTTGTGTCAAGTTGACAATACACTAACCAGCACACCATGGATACAGGGGATAGCCTAGAAAGTGATGGACCACTGCTGCTCCAGGATAATGGAGGGGTGTACACACAGGAGCGACGGCTGGGGAGTAGGGGGCAGATGGCTCAAGGGAGGCCTCATGTCTTGTCTCAGACCTGCAGGCTGCACACTGAGGTCTCCCGGAGTAGCAGGGAGATCTCTTGGAGACCAGCTTACCTCCCTGACTGTCAGAGGGCCAGGTAGGTGGACTTACCTCCAGCCACAGGAGAAGAGCAGCCACCTCCTGGCCTACAGCACGGGTATTGCGGACAGCGACAGCGTAGTGTTGGTGTGCCAGGGAGATCCAATCCACAAACCCTACGTTCACCGGCTGGGACTGTCGGGATTTCAGTGCACCCACTAGCTTCCAGATCCAAGTTTCTAGCAAGCCATCCATCTGAGGGTGGGCCACAGGTTGTCAGCTTAGCTGGGAGGGGAGAGGGAGCCCTGTGCTAGTTCCTGGGGTCACTGAGTACTTAGCCCTCTTCTTTATCAGTTTCAAGGACAATTCTAGATCTTTCTCCCCAACAGAAAGGCCATGGCCTGGGATTCCTCAGCCTAGAGCTGAGGACATTTGGGCTTGAAGAGCTCTTGCCCAGCTGTCTGCCCGTCTCTAGCTCCCTCCATGTGGTGTCAACCCCATCTCCAACCCCAGATTTTGAGAACACAGTGTGCCCAAACCTTGCTACATTCTCCCCACCTGAGAATCACTGCCTGAATTTTTCCCCAAGGTAGCTCTTTCTGAGCCCTAAAATAATGGAAAAGTGTGTGAAAATGAGGTCCAAGAGTTGACTTCAGAAGTCAGCTCCACAGTGCCTGGGGTCCCACAGGGGCTGTCCTGCCCTCTTTGCCCTTTGGTGGGAGGAATGTGAGATCCGGAGCCCTGCTCTGTGTGTCCCCTGCTTGGGATAATGTGTGGGTGTGCCCACTGTGTTCCCAGAGGGGAGGGTTTGTTTTGTGCCTTGGAGACTAAACAGAGAAGGCAGGAAGGTGGTCACAGCTGGGTCTAGGGTATTCCAGGCAGTCTTGTGGAGGCAGAAAGGGGGCATAGAGGTGTCTGAAGACTGGAGAAATTTGAGAGAGTTTAAGGTCAAACTGCAAGAGGGGAAATGGTAGAGCTCCATCCTCATACCCCACCCCCACCTCACCCCCATTAGCCATCCTCCCATCCTTCCAGGGGAGCTGAGCTGTGTTTATTGAAGAAATGTTTACTGAGAGCCAATATCGAAGCTGAACTACTTTGCATGTGTGTTGTTTAACCCCTGTGCCTCCTTTCTTCATCAGCAGCATGGGGATGTTGCCTTCCTTCCAGGAGGGTTGTTAAGACCAAAGGAATGAGTGGTGGGTTCCGAGTTTTTAGAACAATTCCAGGAGCCCAGCCAGGCTTCAAAATCCTATTTGTCCAAAGAGCACATTTTGCTATAGGAGTCTGCAGCTTTGTGTTGCATTTCAAAACCCAACTTAATAATTTGATCATTAATTCAGTTAACAAACGTTTTGGAACACCCGATGTGTGGTGGCTAGTGGCCTGCAATGTCAGACAAGTTCCAGGGAAGAACTTACAGCCGAGTGGGTCAGAGAAACTGAATGAGGCTCCAGGAGCCAGAGGAGCCAGAGGTGCCGGAGGCTGGGAACTCAGGGACCCATTGTTACACCCTGGGGAAGGGCTGGGCTGTGGCAGGGATGGACTGCAGGAGACCCTGATTGAGACTGTGCCTATAGGGAAGGGAAGCTGACCCAGAGAAGAGAATGAGGAAGGGGGCATTTGGAAGTGGGCAGAGGATAGGAAGTGACAAAAGAAGGTGACAGGTCAGATGGGCGAGCCAGTTTATTCTCTAGAGCAGGTGAGGTGGGGGTTTTGAGAATATTTTTCATGTCTGGCGATATACTGAAGTCATCGGAGTGATTGCCTAACATTCATGGGGCTCTAGGTCCAACCCCAAGAATTGCATAAACCAGACACAGAGACACACAGCTGTTGTCCTAGCCCTTGGAGGTGGAGCCAGGAGGAACAGGAGTTCAAGGTCTTCCTTGACTATATGATGAGTTTGTGGCCAGCTCTTCAAACAAATAATTTTCAAGTAGATGGCAGAAAATAAATTCCAATTCGTTTGTTGTAGGAGAGTGACTTCGTTGGGAAAGCACCTGCCTTACCCACAGCCCTGAGTTTGAGCCTTAGAACCCACATAACATTTTTTTGATGTAGTGCTGGAGATGGGTCAAGGTTAAGAGTGCGTACTCCCTTTGCAGAGGACCTGAGTTCTGCTCCCAGCACCCATGCCTGGCAGCACACAATTACCTGCAACTCCAGCTTCAGGGGATCCAGCACCCTCTTCTGGCCTTGGCAGGCACCTGCACTCTCATGCACATACACACAGACATACACATAGGCATAACGTTTCCACTATCCTGCTTACTCCTGGAACTGAGAAAACTGGGAGGTGCTTTACCAGGGCCATGTGTGAGGTTATCATCGGCATTATCAAAATCCAACCCACTAGGAAGAAAGACAGCGAGCAGGAACACACAGAGAATACAGCACGTCAGCACTTCCTACCGACCACCCGTGGATGATCATGACCAGCGGCTGGGAGGTGTTGAAGCCACACTCTTGCAGTGTTTCTGGGCGCTGGACTTGGAGCTGACAGCCTAGGCGATCACTTTCACTTCTGAAGAGCAGGAATCTGCTCTCTGTCTTCTGTAATGGTTTCCTTATGTCAGTAGCTCCATAACTTCTTCCAAATGGCTCTGGAATACCAAGTCAGGACTGTGGGTTAAGCCTGGCATGTGTTCCATCAACATAGGCCCTAAGACTACCTACAGGTGGTCCAGCTAGTGGTAGGTAGCTGGGAAGGTACTGGGAACCATCATGAACTCCATCTTTGAGGAGCCCAAGGATATTCATGGTGGGATGGCCAGATGGTAGTGGGGGAACTTGGGAAGATCCCATACAAGGTAAGTGACCTGACCTTCCCCCTGGCAAGTAGCCAGCAAGGCACTCACTAGCTGCCTGACTCCAAGGCTTGAGGCCTGTAGGTAAGACCACCGGGCCTGAGACTGGCAGACAGTCAGCCTCAGCCCAGATCACACTGCTAGGATGAGACAGAATCAGGATTTGAACCCAGATCTGTCTCCAGGCCTAGAGAGCCAACAGAGAGAGGATGTCACTACATGTCACCCTTCCAAGCTCATCCTGTTCTCACTGAAGGTATAATATGTAGCATAAACCTTGAGGGGACTCGTTGTGGAGGAACAGATGGGGAGAATCTCCAAAAGGGTGATGGATTGTTCTTGAATGCTAAGCCTGGCCTGGAAGGGTTACCTGGGCTGTGTTTTTGGGGTGGGGAGTGGGGCTTTCCAGCTGAGGGGAGAGCATGAAGGATGACTCAGAGGCATGAGAGCTCATGACCAAAGGACATGAAGAGGCTGGGCAGGATAGAGCATGGGTGCCAAAGACCTTGGAGTTTATGCAGTGGGGGCGGGGAGGATAGCTCAGTTGGCAGTGTGCTTGCTTTGCATGCCTAAGGACCCGAGTTCAATCCTCAGCACCCACACATAAAGCCAGGCCCTGCAATGTGTGCTCGGAATCAATCCCAGGTTGTTCTGGCTTCATTTCCACAGATGTGATAAAATGTCCCAGCAAAAGGTAACTTAGGGGAGAAAGGCTTATTCGGTTTACAATCCCAGGCTACAGTCGTCGGTTCGGAGACATCAAGACAGAAACTTGAAGCAGCTAGTCACACGACAACCAAACGCAGAGAGTGAATGAATGCATGCCTGGCACTCAGTAGCTTCCTCTAATCCAGTCCAGGGCTCCAAACTGTCCACTTTCAGGCTAGATCTTCTCACACCAGTTAAGGTCATCAAGACAATCCCTTATAGAAACGCCACAGGCCACCCTGACTGATCCAGAGGAGCCCTCACTGAGACTGTCTTCCCAGGTTATTCTAGGTTATGTCAAGTTGACAATTAAAATTAACCATCACACAGGTTGACCTCTGACCTCTACACATATGCTGTGGGGTGTGCTTATGCTCGCTAACACACAAATGTCCCCCCTGCATAGACACAGACACAGACAGACAGACAGACACACACACACACACTATATGTATACATGAAAGAAGAAAATGAGGATGAAATAGTAGGCATCTCCTGGGGTTGTTACAAAGATTCAATCAGCTTTGCTAAGTGCTCAGAACAATGCCTAACACGGCCTTAGCACCTAGGTAAGGGTGTATCATGAAGCTAAGCTCAGATCCAGCCCTGGCATCTGGCACGTCTCATCTGTGAATCTTGTCTTTCTATGAAAATGTACCCCTGCCGGTCTCCCAGGGCCAGTTCCTGCCTGTGTGTATTGACTCTGGATTTACATCTGAGATCATGTTTTAGCCCAGGTGCCCAGGGCCTGCCAGCTGAGCAAGATGGAAAAGAGTTTTCCGATAGAAAGCCCAGGTAGAACCAAGCGAACGGCTGGTTCCCCCTTCTGCCTTTGGATCCCTTTCCCAAGTGTGTGAGGAGACAGATGTGCTGATCATCTTCCCTTCATCTCTGACTACGCCTGTTGGTCACCTCTGACGCTGAGGTCTGCCTGGGTCTGAGCTGGAGGTAGGTGGGAAAGCAGGGCTTTGCATGTGGCTGCCCTAGGGCTCCAGTGAGAATGTCACCAGGAGGGCTGGGGAGAAGATGGAGCTGAAGTGGAGTCTAGGTTGAAGAGTTTTCAAACTCATGGCCAAGAGAAATGATGGAACAAAAGGGACTCTGATGCCTAAAATAGCGCGATTCAGTGGAGGATGCACACGTTGGATTCAGTGGAGGATGCACACGTTGGATTCAGTGGAGGATGCACACACATGTTGGATTCAGTGGAGGATGTACACGTTGGATTCAGTGGAGGATGCACACGTTGGATTCAGTGGAGGATGCACACATTGGGTTCAGTGGAGGATGCACACATTGGATTCAGTGGAGGATGTACACGTTGGATTCAGTGGAGGATGCACACACATGTTGAATTCAGTGGAGGATGCACACACATGTTGGATTCAGTGGAGGATGCACACGTTGGATTCAGTGGAGGATGCACACATTGGGTTCAGTGGAGGATGCACACATTGGATTCAGTGGAGGATGCACACACATGTTGAATTCAGTGGAGGATGCACACACATGTTGGATTCAGTGGAGGATGCACACTCATGTTGGATTCAGTGGAGGATGCACACACATGTTGGATTCAGTGGAGGATGCACACACATGTTGGATTCAGTGGAGGATGAACACATTGGAGGGATGCTGGGGGAGGGGCCTAGTGCTCCTTTGCACAGCTCCAGGAGTCAGACGTAGAATCCATGGGAGGGTGTGATACAGAGAAAATACTTGACTTTCATTGAAGAGACTAGCACGGAGACAGAATGATGGGAGTAAACCAACGGAGATAGGTTAAGTGATTTTGTATTAGATTTTATTTACTTGTGTGTGTATTTATATGAATGTATGTGTGTGCCCTGGTCCATGTGTGGAGTTCAGAAGACAACTTTTGGGAGTTGGTTCTCTTCTTCCACCTTGTGGGTCCCAAGAATTGACCTCAGGTCACCAGACTTGCCTACAAGTGCCTTCACCCACTGAACCATCTCACAGGCCCCCAAGACAGACTGTTAATATTAACATCCTAAAGCATACACTGTGAGATCAGGTTGCTGGGAGAGGCCTCAGACCTGGTTCCAAGGGACATTTGGAGCATTTCCTTTCATCCAGGGACATTTGGAGCATTTCCTTTCATCCAGGGACATTTGGAGCATTTCCTTTCGGTCTTTTTTCTTCCCGCAGAGACATTTGTCCCACAGATTAAAAAAAAAAAAGATTTATTTTTACTTATGTGTATGTATGTGAATCGGTTTATGACTATGTGCACCTGAGGGCAGGTGTCCATGGAACCCCATGGACATCAGATCCCCTGGAGCTAGAGTTACAGACAGTTGTGAGCCGCCCAACATGGGTTTCGGGGAACTGAATCCAGGTTCTTTGCAAGAGCAGGGTGTGCTCTTAACCGCTGACCTGTCGCTCCAGTCTCTCTAGAGGTGTCCATTTGGCCGTTCCCCGGGATCAGACACCAATGTTTTATGTGCCTCTTCACCTGCCATGGCGCTTTTTCATAGCGGTAAAAATGCTTCACCAATGTTTGTGAAAGGTGGTAGGATTATCTGTTTCACTTATATTTAGCTTGTTGCCAGATTTTTTTTTTCTGTATTTAGGACAATGTTTTGATGGCCATCCTTATGTTTAAATCTTTGCCCAAATCTAGGTGATCTCTGGTTGATATTCCTAAGAGCAGTCTTGTTAGTTCTCAGGGGTTAGCCCATTTATATCGCTGTATAAAATCATATGCATTCATGTTGTTTTCAGCGTATTTGTTTTCCCAGGACTAGAAGTAGAACCTGGGCCCTCACACATGTTGGCCAGCACTCTGCTGCTGAGCTACATTCACAGCCCATGTTTTCAGCCTTTTTTCTTGTGTGGGACATTCCTGTGTGTGTGTGTGTGTGTGTGTGTGTGTGTGTGTGTGTGTGTGTGTGTGTATACACATGAGGTCAGAAGAGGACATGAATTCCATGGAGCTTGAGTTACGGGTTGTGAATAGCCTGTTGTAGGTGCTGGGAACCAAGCTCAGGTCCTCTGCAAGGGTAGCAAATGCTCTTAATCACTGAGCCATCTCTTCAGCCTCTCCAATCTCAAGAGACAAAGACTCCAGTGATGTGAAGCCAGATGGTACTGTGGTTTTGAGAGGCAATATCGCCTGAAGTAAATGGTCAGCTACTTCAGGAGACTCTGCTCCTCTATCTTGGAAAAGGGGGTGGTGGGGACTTGGGAGACCTAGAATTAGTTGTCCTGAGGATGCCAAACACCTTCTCCTTTAGTCAGAAGGAGTTCAGATATCATTCCTTGCAGTGATTTCTGTATTCTCAAGCCAGCTCCTGGTTGGAAGATCCTTAGAAATTCACACAAGAACAAATTACTTCCTCTTCTCTTGGGCAAAGACGTCATCAGGTGGGTGACTTCAGGCAACTGAGCTGGGCCATGTGGCCCAGGAGAAAACCAGCTGAAGGCTCTGCTTGGCCTTCCTTGTGCCCGCAATGCCTGTGCAGGATGCTTCTGCTCCGTGAGCGTGTGTCAGGTGCTTGCTGGGTCCTGGATGAAGTTAATGAGGCAAGTGCATGAGTTGGAGGCCTCGAGTGCTAATGTGCTCCTGCAGAGCTGTTTGCAAAACATCTCCGCAAATTCATTATTTAATTGCGCTCGAGTGTGTGTGTGTGTGTGTGTGTGTGTGTGTGTGTGTGTGTGTGTGTGCTTACCACACTCTTGCTCTGTAAACATGTATTGTTGAAAATATTCCCAGACCTGGCAGGAGTCCTTTGGAAAATCATAATTTCTCAATGTCCCTGAAAATTCTCCAACCACATCCTCTGCCCAGGGTGGAACATTCCCATGAAGTAAATGTGGCTGCCACTCTGTGGTTGCTGGCATCAAGCCAAGGATGTAAAGTTGGGCCATGTTGACTTTGGAGTTTCTTGGATGGGGCGAGGCATTGCAGCTCATTTGGTGAGTGCTTGCCTAGCATGCCTGAAGCCCCGGGTTCAGTCCGAGCTTTGCAGACCCCAATGTGGCGGCACAAACCATAACCCCAGCAATTGGAAGCTGGAGGCAGGAGGATTAGAAGAAGTTCAAGGTCATCCTTAGTTACACAG